CTCTCTCTCTCGACGTTATAATGTATGTTGATGTGATTACAGCCGAGCGTACACCGAGAAATTCACAACGGAGTCCTCTGTTCGTTGTCGTAAACCAGAGCACATATACTTAAGTTCATCGCTATTGGGAGCAATGCCGTGTTTTACACGGGGAAACTCTGGATTTCATGCTTAGTTTACTGTTATATTGCTGCAGCTTTACCAAGGACTTGTAATTGGTTGCTTTCGAGTATTGACAAGGACTACTTAAAGTAAGAATAACTGCCACGGGTAGTGTACCCGTCGGTATTGGAAACGGAGGATAGCTCTCGCACTGGTAGTGCAATTAACTTCCGATCCAATCTTTGGTAGCCAGCAAAATATGATGGTTGGATTTTGGTTGTCTTGTGATACCTCGAGTCAGACTTGGACATGGAGACCCCGACAATCTTGGGCGTTTCCAAAGTAGGATCGTCAATCCACACAACGACGCTCTTCCAGTCATGACGTCTCGACGGGGAAAGCAGCCAAAAGCCTTTCGGGAAGTACCAAGCGTACATGATGGCCCACAGATCCTTGTACCACCCAGCTCGACCGTAGACTTGGGAGCCCTGAGGAGCATACTTGCATGCGTCGTTTCCATTCGTCCCCTTGAGCCCTCCAGTGACCTCACCGGCAGCATTTACGGCGGGATACGATACGCAAACCATCTCTGGAATGTAAAGCTGTGGCTTGAACTTGATGGCAGCTTTTTCGGAGACGGTGACCGCCTCGGGTTGAGGCAAAGGTTCAACTTTGTCATGGTCGACGGTTGCATAAGCACATGCAAATAGTAGAGTGAAAAGTGTCGTGGCAAGAGCTCGTATATTCATCTCGACCCTGAAAAAGAGAGAATGAGCCGTAGGAGTCCTGTAAACCCGTCAGTCCTACTAGGACAGACGGGTTTATTATGTAATTATGTAATCTAGAGACGCCAAAATGATTATTGCTGCTTGTAGTAAACGCTGTGGCAAAATCGTTCTTGCGCAACTTGATCAGCACCAGACTTTCCCGTGGTGGAGTAACTGTTACTGTGCTCTCGTCTCTTCTCTGCGTGACAGCTTGTCAATACTGGCTTGGCCTTTATTTAATACTTCGAAGTATGAGTTGCCAGGATACAGTATTCAAGCGAAGCAAACCATTGCATATTACTCTTTTGCAACACTGCAGAATACACAGCGTGTCCAGCATATTCACATAACCTACTTTGCTGTCAACGGCGAAATGTTTTAGCCAGAAAACGCTGCAGCTAATACCACAATATGGCATGCTGTACGTCCCTTCTGAAGATGTCGCCGCCAACTTTCCGTGAGCCGTCACAACTAATCTGATACTGGGCATACGCGTTTTATACGTACGAGCAGTTGGCGTCCTCTTCGGGATAATCCGATCGACTGACAGCGCGGAATACTGTAGATGGTATACAGGAGTATCAAACTAAATCTCTTTCTACCCAGTACACTTAATCAAATACTTAATGTACCAAGAAGCTTTGCGTTGTGCAACTGGAGTGAAAGAAAGATGAAGAATTTCTAAAGCCAACACTGTCCACTCGCCACGGTTTCGTCTCAGCCTCTGGCACCCCAGTATGGTGAACAGAAAGCCACAGCTGGTTGTCCACCACAGGTGAGAGGTGAATCCACCCTTCGGCACATCCAAAGCATATCGCAGCATGGCAAACTAATCTCTTATCATACCTGTTGTTTATTCTGTCAAGGGCAGTCAGTGGCGCAATTGAGGTACCAGTTGGTCGAGGAAAGCCAACTCGTCCTCAACACTTTTCTGTGGATAAACCTGTTCCCATACATGTAGCACCCGGAGTGCTCGTGCGATATTGGTGCTAGCACCAGGGCCTAGTCGAGTCTGCACAGTCTTGCCATCCAGCCGACGACGTCGACTCGGCTTGTCCTTGTGCATATCACTGGCGTACCAACTAGCCATGTCCAGATACGCCTTCAACATCGCATCCTGCTCTTCTACAGTCATCTGAGTTGCCCCATTACTGTCGAAGCTACGAGCAGATACCAGCGTGGTTAACGCTGGAACGAGAACGGAGTGATACTGCGTCATCCACATGAATCGCTTGACTCGGTGCTTGACACTGGCACTTACAGGGTCAGTGGTTTTCTGCTGAGTCTCGGGATACGTCGCAATGGCCTCGATGATCAGCGCCACACGCTTTCCTGCTGGCTTGGGCCACTTGACGTGCACTTTAAGCATCTCCACGATCTCAATCGCGTCTAGAGCAGCCACGATAGTCTCCCGTTGGTCGAGAAACTCCAGTGAACTCTCCACAATTTCTTGCTCACTTACACCGTCAAACTCGTCTCGGACGTGGTCATCTGGCATGATCACAGGCACTCTTGATAGAAATAAAGCCGTGAAGATAGCGGCAGTCGACTCTACATTCGAGATCCCACACTTGCGACCGTGCTGTAGATAATCCAAGTAGTGAGAAGCTCGTTCTTGGATAGACTCGGTCCATTCTCGAGGTGGGTACTTGAATCCGTTGTCGTGTACCTCGTCATATTCTTCTCCTTCACCCAATTTACCCGCACTGTCATTGAACACCAACTCCAGCAGATCAAACTTCCTCAAAAACCCAAACGCACGCGCTGGGTCGTTGCCTGAGAGCATCTTACGCACCTCAATACCGATACGTTCGCGACTAACCTTCCGTCTCATGGCGCCCACAATCTCTCTCTGGTCCAGCACCGCTCTCTCTAACGCTGGATCCAATGTAAATCCGAATTCACACGCGAATCGCAACGCTCTCAACACCCTCAACGGATCGTCCAGAAAAGTCTGAACTGGTTCTCTGGGGGTGCGAATCACCCCCTTTATCAAGTCCTCCACACCTTTCCCAGTGAAATCCTCCACTTGTCGAGTATGCAGATTGAAAAACAATGCGTTGATGGTCAGATCTCGTCGACTGGCATCGTCTGCCGGGGTAGCGAACTTAACTTCAGGCACTCGACTGTCTTGAGAGTATTCCTCGGCTCGTAGATGCACCAGATCAACGGTAGACCCGTCAATCGTTACGGTTGCCACCTCGAGATGTTTGGATTTGTCTGAATTGGCTTTGACGACGCCCACAGAGCTCGGTGGAAGCTTTCGGTCTCGCTGGAATTTCGTGATGTACCAGGCGAACTTGGCGCCCATCAAATTATCCAGCGCAATGTCAATGTCCTCGCTCTCAGCGCCACGTAATTTGTCGCGCACCCAGCCGCCGGCCACGCGCAATTGCGTCTCGGGGGCGTACAGCCGCTGGATGTACTCGAGGAAGGAGAATAATGAGTCTTCTGCTGGGGTCAGAGATATCGAGAGTTCTGACGCAATTTTATCGCTTATACTGGGCGGTGAAGTATGATTACTGGATGTCGAGAAAGTGGAGACACTAGAAATGCTGTGTCCAATTGGGGGTCGATGGAAGTTGCACCGGAGACGCACACGGCGGTGAGAAGTGACCTCATGAGGGGGTTATTATTAGGTAGAGTATCTGTGGTGCAGGTACTGCGAAAAGTGGGCGGCCGCGTGATGCAGTGGCACTGCGAAAAGTGCTTCTGGACGAGTGCAAGTTCGTCACCAACCAAGTAGTTAGTTCGTTGATCAAAGTCTGTGGGGACACGCCAGAAAAGATCATCACCAGTACGCTGACAAAATACGCCGTGATGAAAGTAAGGACACATGGTAGTGATCCCAACGCTACAGTATTTCGCTTCTACAGAAGCGTCTGGATTCACAGATCTTCCGAGACCTTGCTAGACATGCGCAGAGGCTGGAGGAATTGACGATAAAGTATGCCCAAGATGCGTACCTGTACACCTTTGCTGCTGCTGACGCCTGGTGCACTAGTTTGTTCTTGAATAGCAATTGCACTAGCGTACGGCTTTGCGATTTCCAGGCCTTGACCGAAGCACTTTGGAGCTTGTAGCGCTGGTTGGATCTGACATCATGTCGCGGCATCTCTTCATTTCCGGTTTGTTCGCGTAAATTGTGCCGTCACCACGGCTGCCGAAAAATATATTGACTTACAGTACAATATGTATTGAAGGAAGAAATTACTTATTTCTGAAAAACGTATCTCAAAATGCATAATTTACGGTTCTACCCTATAACCTGCAGTACCTTATTGCGAAAATCTATAACCAAATATGTCTCCCCAACCATTCGTTTTGCAACCAACAATGTCCACGAGCTCGAATCAAGCTCGAATCAAGCACACAGTCTCCATTTTGAAGGCAACTACCTATTCCAACGCCGATATCTCAGCCTACTACTTCTCAGCGGTGCTAGATGCCTTCGACGAGGAAGTTGAAGGGGTTTTTCGCTGCCAGTGTGGGACTCTGCATCGCCAGTCGCCAAGAACCGGGTACTCAAACCTGATGTCCCACATTCGTGACCAGCACCATGACTATCAAGAAGTGGTCATGGAGGCTGACATGGGTGCAGGGACGCTGGCGCCGTGGATCAAGCAGAGTGCCAAAAATATGCACGGTTGGCTGGACTGGATCATCTCCAGCAACTTGCAGCTTCAGTTTTGCAAACGAGCTACAACGAGACGGTATGTATTAGACTTTATACGTAGTTAATTTGTTGCTGACGATTGTTAAAATGTTGTATTGCTGCAGCTACACGAACCTAAACCGTATCAGCGTCGAATCGCTCAAGCGAGCGATGGGGAATGTCACGCTGGCAGTTGAGGCCAAGATTAAGGCCGAGTTACCGAGCCAGTTTGGCTTGGTGATCGACGGATAGTCCCACGCGTCAGAGCACTTTCTAGTCGTTTTGCGTGCTACGAGATAGACGGTGTGGGACACCATCCGCTTCTCTACTGATCGGTGAGGATGGTGGTGATCACTCGGCCGAAGGCCATCGCGTGTTTTTGGACTCGATGCTGCAGCGTGATTACGACAAGAGCCTGCACGATTGCTTGTTTACTGTCGGCGACAACTGTGCCGTTAACAGAAGGCTGGCAACAATTGCTCACCTCCCTCTAATCGGATGCGCGAGCCATCGGCTCAATTTCGCCGTGCAAGCTTATCTTCAATCCTACAAGGACGAGCTGGACTCCATTCCGAACCTGATGCGAAAGCTTCGCACGCTGAATCACGCCGCAAAACTTCGGTAACCAATTTTGGGAAAACGGAATTTTGTTGAATTGGTTCTAATATATTTGTAATTTTTCATTTTAGTGCCAAAACGTCACTACGCCCCGTTCTCCGTCACGACACGCGATGGAGCTCGACGTACGCGATGGTGGGCCGCTACTTCTGTCTGGCGGGGTTTATAGAGGCAGATGATGAAGACATGTGCGAGCTGATGCCTTCCCCGCGCTCTGTGAAGCGACTTCTGTCTCTGCTGTCCGACTTGAAGCGCATCGAATATGTTAGCAAGTCTCTACAGTGCGGGACAACCACGATTTTAGATGTACGTCTTTGGTTTGATGGCCTCATCGAAGTCGAGCCCTCGTTTGCTGAGTATTTGGGTACGTATCGGCAACTTGACACGTTTACTATGCAAAACTAACAGCTTATGTTTTATATTGCCTACAGCACCGCGTGCTAGAATCGTTCACTCTCCAGATTTCGAGAGCGGTTGCACAAAAGTGCTCGATGGTGAAGGCGCCAAGCTCACTTGGGCTGAATCGGCTGCGCTGGAGCCGTTCGCCATCGAGCACAGTGAGAGTGAGTTCGACTCGGAGTCAGGGTCGTCCACCTCCAATATGGTGGAGCGGTTTCAGTCTCGCCCGCGTCACGTTTGGACACGAGCACCATTCACTGAGCCCGTACACGCTCGAAATGATTTTGTTTCTTGCTAGTTAACAAGAAATATTGGGACGTTTGCACGGTCGAGTATGTAGGTTGTCGGTAGCTCAGGAATTTTAGCAAGCGTTGTTTACAATGGGCGAACAGACAGCATTTTCATTACCCTGGTATTGCAGATATTTATTGCGCAGCATGGTGTATTTTAACTACTTACTGTGTCGTGCTGGCAGCTTCGATAAGTATTTTATTGCGTCACCAATCTGCAATCGGTTCCCAATACAATATTCGGCAGCCCTGGTCGTCACCGCTCTGGTTAGCATCTTACTCTATCTGGCTAACACAATGCTACAAGCTTGCCTCCGCTGGAACTGCTTATTCTGGACAAGACGAATATCAACGATGACGGCTTGCTAATAATTCTCAAGTCGCTCCCTCGCTTCGATACCTCTCCCTTCAGGTGCGGATGCCATTGCCGTGCTGCAATTGTTGTTCCATCAAATGGATGATGGTATATCATCTATTTCAGGAAACGCTAGCTTGGGGGAGGGCGCGCGAAACGCCAACCGCAGTTCAGGCGGATGGAACCTCCACGGCCGCCCTACATTTGACTTTCTGTATTGCATACTGAATCTAAGTTAAACTGAGCCTGCCTCTGATTGGCTACAACTCTACACGTATCATAGCTGATACAGTCACCCTCCCTCTGGCGTGCGCGTCCTCTCAGTCTTGCCATTCCCAAAATTGCGCTGTAGGCCAGAGGTGCCGGTCCCCGTCGGATTAGTCCGATAAATACAATCAGTCTACTCTTAAACATACCCTTACTTGAGTACTTCGTCCCCTCAGACCAGGAACACGTGAACTATCGTTCACTTAGAGTTTGTAAGCCTACTTCTTTTCCTGGTGCAACAACAAAACAACCAAAATAAAAATATTTTCGTCCAATCAGAGAACCACTTAAATAGACGAATTTATCGACCAATCAAGTTTAGCACTCGTTTATTATTCACATTTTCAAAGATGACTGCAAAGAGAACCAAGGCGCCGTACGGGAGCGTGCCGAAGAAGACATGCAAGAAGTGCGACAGGAAGATCTCCTGTACTAACATCTCCAAGCATATCAAGGTATGCAAGGGCATAAAGCTGCCAGAGACGCGCAGCGAGATCCGGAAGAAGTCATGGGAAAAGAATCGCGCTAAACGCGTAGGCTTCCAGCGCGACCAGCGCGCAGCCAAGTTTTTCGAGGAATTACAAGGTACCATAAATTAACATTCAATATGTTTGAGATTATTATGATATCTAATACTTTGCTGTTGATTAGATATTTGCGCACAGCTACGGGAAGCAGAAGGAGCGCCAGCTTTACCCCAACCAAATCCGGAAGGGATGTCAGGCCATCCCTTCGAGGTGCTCAGTTTTCATCCAAGCCTCTTTGAGCACGCGTTTGCAAAGGTACGCGCCAATAATATTTATAATGCAGGTATCCATCGGTAATGCTATGATGTTTTAGGCTGAAAAGCACGAATTGCTGTCGAAGAAATGGTTTCATGCGGTGCTGCTGTTCTTGCATCCGGACAAAAGCCATCATCTTCCCCAAGAGTGGCAAAATGCACAGAACTACACTGCGGTTCGGGAGAGCTTTAAGCTTCTTCCACAGTATAAGGAGGACATGGAAGAAGCGAGTACACGCACGGTTTACAAAGAGCGGGTTCGTATCGAGAAATATCGACTCCATCTTCAGACGAAGTTCAAGCAACGGTTCAACAACTGGAAAGCAAAATGCAAGGAAATACGCGATGCTAAAATGTCGGAGGCGAAGAAAGTACTGATTAAGTTTGCAGAATATGCAGATTGTGTTTCATTTGATGATTTCAAAGTCATTTACTATGCTCGCTTCTTGGAGAAGGACAAGGCGTACGAAATCAAGAAGAAGGCCAAGCTGGAGGAAGCGGCAACCGACATCCGATTCCTCGAAACCTTTGGTGCGGAATCGGAAAGTCACGAAGAGTAAAATTTAAAAACTTTTATGTGTTTTTGTTATGAAGAGTATAAAAATGCGATCTTAAACTACGCGATAAAACGAATGCAAGTACTAAGACTAGATCGTAACCACTAGTACAAACCGCAAGATCGAACTACTATAAACAACAAGACTAAAGTACTACTATGACAAGACCATAAGTATTATGACAAGATTTAAAGTACGATTACAGAATCGATTGGCGTTGAATCTCTTGGGGCTCACAATCCATTTGGTTGGACAAGTCGAACTTGCTGAGCACCGTCCTTCTTATGAAGCATGACTAGGCAATCGTTGACGTTCCAAGAACTATTACAAGGTGGTATTGACACAGCAACTCGCGTGATCAAACAGGAGACAAGAAACGTATATGCATCTCATTTTAAGAAGTTCTGTGAATTCTGTATCGCCAACGAGTATCCTGATCCAGCGGTGACGCGTCATCACGAACTGCCTTCGCTTTTGGTTGCGTTTATGGAGAGTGTATCCGCGTCCAGTACCGTTTCCAATCAAACTGCGGAGAAGATCAGAGCTGCGGTCGCGAACTTTTATGGCAGTTACGAGCGCAGAGACGCCGCAGGACCGGACAAATGAATGGTAATGACAGACGACAGGGCAGCAAATTTGACCTTGGTAATCCTGCAAAGGATGCGTTCGTTCGCCAATTCATGCGGGGCCTCAAGAAACAAAAGAACAAGGAATTTACGCAGCACCAAGCTACGCCTATTTCTTTGGATATGCTCCGTGTGATTCACTTTCACTTGACACACACGTCAGGATTCACAGAGGCAAGTCGTTTGTGGTTTTTGGCGGTATCTGCTTACGCATTCTATGGAATGTGTCGAATCAACGAGGTGCTAAGTTTGCAGTGGAAGAATATCACCCTGGACCTGGCTCGTCCAAGTGCGTCTGATCCGACTTCGACAATTGGCTACGGTGTCTACAAACTGAAAGGGAGAAAGACGGAGGTCGCTGAAGGTCACTGCTACAACCTTCATTGTTTAGATGAATGCGAGAGTTCAATGGATGTTTTAATTCACTTAAAGAAATGGATTGGGTACGTTAATACGAAGACGGACCACAAGATAACGACTACGTTTTCCCAGCATTGTCCAAAATTGCGAAGAGTGCTATCAAGACTGATGACCCTCATACAGGGTGCGAGAACGCACGTGTGGAATGGAGCAAGAAAATGTCTGAGCAGCCTTTCGTCACGCTATCGAATTGCGTCGTGAGAGATCTCAACCGCAATGAAACATCTGTGCCCGGATACGTTCGCCAACAATGGCGTGACATTTGGTTCACTTCACACACGTTTCGCCGCACTGGAGCACAGTATCGATTTATATTCGCACCGCCTGAGCGGAGGTGGTCGCTCCGAATGGTGACATGGTGGGCCGGATGGACTCCAAATGAATCGGCAGAGACACTTGTGCGTTATCTTCTTGATCAAGCAGCAACCGATGAGGACGCGCAACTAGCAGACTGTCTTGCACCAGATCGTGGAGCACATGTGGGCTGTCCTTCTACTTTTACAGGACGAAAACGGAACATGGGGGGACATGATAGCCAACGATCCTCAACCTCCTCAGCCGATACAACGTCTCACTTCGAAAAACGTCTAAAAACTGTTGAGTGTTCGGTTAAAGCCCTTGAAGACAAGATCGACTTACTCATCTCGGTACTTCGGCCATCAGAAATCTCAACACCATCTGCAGCAGCTTCACACAGCAGCATCGACGAATTGGAGCAGATATCTATTCTGCCGGCAGCTAAAGACTGGCGGGCTTTGTATCGAATGTACTGGAAAGCTGACCCAGCTCGCCATCTATTCAAGCTGATTTGTGAATGGACACCACAGGAAAGAAAGTAAAGCGGATCCCTTCCCAGTCGCCTCAGTGTTGCAAAGCTGATAGCGGAAGATGTTGTTGATTTTGCTCTTCAAAAGAGAATTCCGACTCCAAGGGACGTCTCAGAGGCCACTTTATCGATGTATGCAGCTTACTACGTCGATAATTGGATGAAAGATGCAGCGAATACCAACCTGAATGCGCTCACTATCGACGCTGGCACGATATATCAGACTTGATAAGAAACGCCGACTCGTGAAAGCTCAGCATGCTTACATGAACAGATAAAGCTAGTATAGTAAGATAGTATTGCGAGTCTTGTTTTAGTATATTGTGTCTTGTTATAGTACATTGAGTCTTGTGTCAGTATTATTAATCTTGTCACGTACATCTAGTCTTGTCGTAGTATCTATTATCTTGTCCTGTTTTTCTAGTATTTATATCTTGCTGTAGATTTTGTCTTGCCGAGAGTCTTCTAATAATTTACCACTATTACTTGAGTTGTGATCAAAAATTAATACACGGTTCTTCATTTTATTGGACAATTTTGACTCTAAGACTACTTTTTCATTGGTCAAGCAATCAGGCGTTGCATCAATTGTTATTTGGGAAGCCTGAAGTTGCTTCCGACACAGAAAGCATACAATCTCTAAGATGAGCGGAAGCTGCTTCCATTTTATCACAATTACAGCTCAAACAGACGTCTAGATAGGGTTAGGTCTACTATCTTAACATGTAGATAGTATCATAAACCTACCCCTTCATTATACGAATGGAAGCGCTACTTCCTCAGCGCAAGGTGCTGTGTGGCCCCGTCACAGTCTCAGAGCACTTTATTGTATCGTTGCCATAGTCTATTGCTCCAACTTGCCATAGTATTTCAATACTATCACTTTTCCTATTTAATTAAGACGATTGTAAATGAATTTACTGTCGCATCTTGATTAAACTCCATACAAATTTGAAAAATAAAAAATATGGATTCACTTGTTATTTGTATTGCATGAAATTGTGGGCAAAACACAACAGACGAGCTGTACGTTTACTGCACTGCCAGTATAACCACTATATAACTGCGAGCTGGATAGGTATTCATGCTACTGATCGGAAAGCAAAGTGTGGCAAGCGCATCAGATAGACAGAACCTAGAAATTTGTTTCCTATTTAATCACGACGATCATATATGAATTTACTTCCGCGTCTTGATAGCTCGTTAAACTCCATACGAATGGGAAAAAATATGGGTTTACTGGTTATTTGTAAATCATGAAATTGTGTGCAAAACACAACAGATGAACATTTTGGCTGTATTGACTTCGTTGTATAACCCCTATATAGCTGCGAAATACTGCAAGCTAGAAAGGTTTTCATGCACATGTACTCACTATTCTGCGCAAGCATCAATCCAGACATTGGTGGTTCGAGACATTAGTCAATTTCGTCATCAGGATAGATATATTGTTTATCCAATCAATACTCTCACTCTCACTGTTACCCATTGCATGCGTGAGCTACAGCGGCCACGCATTGTCGAGGTGCTCCTCGTAGTGTTCATCATTGAACGGAACTTCGGCTTTCCCAAAATTGCTACTATCGTTTAAAGCCGCACGAGCCGCATCCGGGAGTTGCTCCCACATGACCAAGTCCTGGTACTCACCATCCACACTGTTGAGGTTCAAATAAGGGGTGCCCAGATCAAGATAGTATCTCATTCGGAGAGACGTGTTGGATCCTGAAACATACCACCCGTCGGTATTGGAAACGGAGGATAGCTCTCGCACTGGTAGTGCAATTAACTTCCGATCCAATCTTTGGTAGCCAGCAAAATATGATG